TTTTTTTTTTTTTTTTTTTTTTTTTTTTTTTTTTTTTTTTGTCCTCTTTATTGTTGTTGTTTCCTTCTGTACTGTTCTAAATTTGGTTATTTTAATTTTTCATCTATTTTTTATCTATTTTTCATCACAGGTTATCCAACGTATTTCTGGAGGTCGAAATCGTTTCTCTTTTCGCTGTTTAACATTCACGGATATGAGCCCATCAAGCTAAGGAATACGAGATTTTGGATACACTTTGGCTATAGGTCTTCAGGCCCTTCATTTGGTTATGATTTAGAAGTTTTTGGATCTGGAAATGCATACTCAAGGTGTTATTCATACGAATGCCCACCTGGATGCTCTGTACAGCATTATTGCTCATTCTTTACTGACAAATCCAGTTTTCAGGTAGATGACGTCGAAGCATTTTTTCGCCAAGTTAAAGATTAGTGAATTTGCGCCTGAAACAACATCGAAGGGGCACTTGGATAAAATTCCATGAAAATTGGAAATGACTTAAAACTTGATTAAACGTATCTATATGACCCCAATAGCAGTCAAGCGACATATGTTCTTCACAGTAAAAAGTGGCGAATAAAAATTATCAATTTCATTTAGCGTCTAAATAGTGAGTAAATGACGTCATTTACCCAGCCCTATTGTTCTTTTCGTTTTCAAACCCAAATTTCTCAACAGCGAGTGGCTCTCAGGCTAAAATTTTCACATAAATCTGGTTTTCATAATCATAAGTCACGAGTCACATCCTCAAACACTTCAATTATTTGGAATTTCAAAAATTGGTGCGTTTTCATTCAAGTGCCTCTTTAAGAATGAAAACAAACAAACAGATAGACAAGAATACAAACGGATATCCCAACCGCAAAAACGGACGAAATGACAGGCAGACAAGAAAGTAAATAAAAATATCTTATAGACCAAGTGCTTAGATTAGAGCGTGGAGGTAAGGAGGGACAGCCAGCAACCACATAATTTACAAGGATCAACCCCGAACACATTAATAGTCTATTATATTTTCAAAACTAATCCCTCTACTTTTTATGTTACTCCGCGGTCCCTGCTCTGCTCGATCCTTCATAATTTCAATATCTATTATTGTAGTTACGTTGTATTCTGAAGCATATAAAATAAATGAGCTCGTACGCTCCTGCCTTATTGTCATTGACTGTATACCATTCTTGATGAGTTTAATGACTTTTATAATGATACGACACACTCCATTTCCCGTGCGTTACGACCATTTTTGGAGTGCAATTACTTTACAATTTTACTTCTACTTTTTTACTTACAATTTTTTTAACGAAAAAAATGATTGTCTTTAATGCTCTCTTAGTTCTTAGTTTTCATGTCGTACAATAAATAATAAACCCTGCAGGGTACGAGGCCGCTTTCACTTATAACATTTTCTGGTTGCAATACGCAATTAGCAGCGTAATAACCTCTATATAATGAATATCGTGGAATGTAAGAAAAATGCTCCATACCAGGTAGAGTTTTATCTCATTGAACAGAAAATATCTGCCAGATCTTCCCAAATTTGCTCGACAAAAAGACTTGATAAAATACAGCAATAGTCCTTTCCCAAATTCCTACTTTAATTTGTATTTTAGTCCAACTTCGACTTGGAACCATAAATATTATTTGGTAATCATACGTTATTTACTGGGTCATCAAATGCTTATGTTATTTTCAAAGACATTTACAGATTTCTTATTGATTTTGTAGCTTAGTCCTATGGCGTTTCCTGCTTTAACAACGAATCAAAACTCTATCCGATTCTCTGGCCTCAATTCTTGATGGCGGTAAAACCCTGAATGAAAGGGCGCGCAAAACCGTTGATTGTCCTATAACTTTCTTGTTGTTCAATTTATTGTTTGCCTCGCAAATGTATGTTCCACTATTTGTGGTTGACAAGTTCATCAATGTCAGGTTACTCGACAACAATTTGGTCTTTATAATGGCCCCATTTATTTTATGTGTTTTTACGGCTCTTTCTTGCGATACTTTGTATCGACCGGCAGGAAGTGAGTCGAATAACTTTGACCACGTGATCTTTGGTGTTGGACTTCCACTTGCAGTGCACGTAAATGTCGCTGTGTGACCTTCTTCCTTGATAACAGGTGAAGGTTTCTTGACTATTTTAGTTCCATCTAAGATAATTAAGATTTGAACATTAACACACAGTATGTACCGGTAACGATGGGCAACAAAGACTCGGGCTAAAATTAAAAATTTCAATGTTTACCTTGAACAACGAGAGAATCAAATGCCACTGCTTCTCCTGGGAAAATATTTGTTGCTGTGCATTTGTAAATTCGCCATGTTCTAAACGAGCCGGGATCTGGGTTCGAGTTACGACCGCAAAGCATCTATGGATCGTTTGGAGGGACAGAGTCGCCATGTTTACAAAGCAGTTATAGAAAGAATGTTGAGATGTCTCACTATAATTGCTGTGTTCCTGGCTGTACAAATAGTTTTAGAAGCGCTTCTCATTTACACTACTACAGGATACCGAAAGATGAGGCTGTTAGAAAATCCTACAAAGTTATTTTGAAGAATGATAGCCTGAAATTGAACTCGACAAGTACACGGATCTGCTCAGAACATTTTGAAGGTGGTGCGAAACTAAGCCGCACTCATTTGCCATCGATATTCCCCTGGACAAAGCCAGAAATCAAAAGAAGAGAACTTAAAAGAGTCAGTTTTGATAAAATTAAAGAAATCGAGGAAGAAAAGAGACAGAGAAGGCTGCTAAAGGAAAACTCAAGTCAGGCTTCTCTGACAGGTGATCATGATGGCGAACGTAACGACACGTTCGAAGTCCTTGCCATCGAAACACAAACAAATACGAGCAGTCAAACATCTCTTACGAGCTTCTTTCGTAGCAGGTCTTATAAGTTAAATTGTAACGCCATATACGAACCTTGAGATTAAAACTTTCTTTACTCCTGTTGTTTTTGCGCCTCTACAAAGCAGCCACCTCTTTAGTTGAACACAACTACATTTCTCAACAGAATCCCTTGGAAGTTTCGCTCCAGGAATGTCACTTTCTGTTAGTTTTACTATTTTAGTATCTACATTTACACTGTCAGCCATATTGTTTGGACTCTGGCTGTCCCTCCAAACAATCCATAGATGCTTTGCGGTCGTAACTCGAACCCAGATCCCGGCTCGTTTAGAACATGGCGAATTCCTTCGTCACTTTTCGTAATATTTCGTATCAAAAGACCTCCATTTTCAACACACTCATATCGACCTTCGGCAGGTAATGAGGAATTGCCTTTTTGCCAGATAACTTTGGGTGCTGGATAGCCCTTTGCAGCGCAGTAAAAAGACACAATGTCGCTTTTGTTGACAGTGACCGATCTCGGAGGAATAGAAATACTAGCGGCAGAAACTGCGATTCCTGGTTCTCCTTTCTGTCCCCTGGGTCCTGTTGGGCCAGATGGACCTGGGAGACCTCTCAGATCTGGCAGATTATCTATCTGTGTCTTGATAATTTGTTGTATTTCTCTTGTAATTTCTTCCCGGATTATGTGGTGGCTTTTTGACGAGTAGTTTGAAGGCACGCTAGAGAGACCTTCGGTGTAATCTGATCCTTGGGAGCGAAGATGAGCATCTGTAAAAAAAAATCCAAACCATATGACATCAAACAGGTATTTACTTGCCGCGATGAATCGTGATACGTTGTTGGGAACTAATGCAATAATTAATTGACTCTGCACTAAATCTCAATCTACGAGTTAAAACAAGGTATTATTCCTTTTAAAAAATTTATTCTCTTGTTAAAGTGTTTATTGCTTTTTGCTTTTCAGCTACGACATGCAGCACTGTTGTTGCAATCTCTGTAATTTAATTCCATTTTTTTTTTTTTTTTTTTTTTTTTTTTTTTTTTTTTTCTCAGCTCCCTCCCTAATGTTTTCAGCCGTTTCTCCCTCCACAAGCAAAACATTTTATGAAATATTAATTCAATTGGATAATATAATAATTTCCTCTCTTCTCCATTTTCATGCTGGCTCTCCCTTCTCCTCATATTTTTTCGTTTCTCCCTTTTCCGATTCCTGATTCATTTCCCCCAAATATCTCTATGAATATTACATACACGTTTCAATCACCGATTTATAACCGGCTAAACCATTTGATGAGACTTCAGAAATTTCTTATCTCTTAAGAATCTAAATATCCTTATCATGACGCTAAAGGTTTCATTTCTCCACGACTAGTGCCGGGTCTTCTGGTCTCAGATAGTATCTTATATTCTAAACAACTTTGCATTTCTTTGGATCATTCGACTCAAATCTATTACAAATCCGAATTGAATGCGCCAACTGCAAATAAAGGCGTACGAACTGGTTTGAGCATGCGCTGTAACGGATGAAATGGTTTTCCGATGCGCAGTGAATGAAACATGTGCTTACCTACATACACCTGTTTGATCGGCGTGCGCAGTAACAGCCACTGGTTTAAGAAAACATGGCGATTCAATGAATAAAGCGATATTTGAAGTCGGCTTTGCGCAAACTTTTGATTCATTTCATTGATTGTAATTGACAAATTAATGATATTTTGCTTACCATGGAGTTCGTCCAACATTCACCTAGTGTTGTGTGTTATTTTTGCAGACTGCTGGTACAGTGGATACAAGCTCACGTCTTCAAGCTCGTCTTGTCGCCGCAAGGGGAATGCGTGACATGAGACATGCATCCCAGATGGAAGAGAGGTGGAGTTTATCGTTGAGTTCATTAAGGTAGTTTAGCATCCTCATGGCTTATTAGCAGAGGCAGGAATGTATATGGCTTATCAAATGGTGTAGCTGGGACTGAGAGGCCTTTAGCAATGGAGGTGCAGTTCATCGTTGAGTTCACTAAGGCAGTTTAGCATCCTGCATTGCGTAGAAAAGGAAGGAACTATATGGCATATCAGATGGTGTAGGTGAACTGAGAGGCCATTAGCAAACTAGCCTAAAGCCATTTTCCAATATCGCGATTCTGACACCCGAACTTTTAGCAATTTTTCCATCTTATTCAAATACCCACGTACTTTAGAGCTCGAAGGGCGGATAAAATGCAATAACTAATATGTCAGTTTATCATAAACGTGATTCACACAAGCTTTTAGTGTGAGTACTACCTATACTTCTTGAATTTCAAGTAGACATAAGAAATATTTCAAAACAATTCCGCTGATTTTGTGCTAAAATCTAATGCTTTCTTGAGTACCAAACGTTTACGAGTTCTTTTAATAATATAATATTTCAAAATAATATCATATTTTGATAATATAACTAATATTTTAAAATAATATTTTAACGGTTTTATCTGTATCAACAACCATCCATATCATACACAACACCCATTTTTCTTTTCATGTTTATATTTTTGTCTCCTTGACTGAGTAATATGATGTTATATTTATAATTTATAGGCAAGCTTTTTTAAATTTTGTAAAATGGTTATGTGTAATAAACAGGTCTAAACAGGTCTAACAGGTTGTCATCATTCAGTGGCTTTTGGACACTGTGCACATTTACCTTGTCTCGTGAAGGACATTCGAAACATCTTAAAGAATAACTAAAATTTTAAAAAAAATCTAAATTAAATATTTTTCATATTTAGTCTTGAAGCGAAAAGCAAAACTCATATCGTATGCAAGTGGTCCTCATTCTCCCTTCAGAAAGCGAAGTAAACCATCTTTAAAGTGTATATGACACGAAAACATTCCATCNTTTATTTCCAGCTACGAATTTAAAAACACGACATGCAGGACTGTTGTTGCAATCTCTTCATGTCGTTTCATACTTCAAAACTATACTAAAAGCAAGATGAATGGTTTAAGTCTTTGTACCTATATTTCATTCTCGTTTCAAAATACCTTTTCCTAGATGATCTTTTTCCAGTTCGTTAATTCTCTCATCCATGCACTTCTTGTTAAGGACGTCCAATCTGCTCGCGGTGGGAGTGCAGCGACCACTGAACATGAATCAGACAACCAACACAAGCCAAAGAAATGACCAGGTTAAACAAAGGAAGAAAGGACGTTGTACTCCCTTTTTCTTTCTTCACCGTCAACCAATTTTCTTACAATACTGTACTCAAAGAATTTTCCCTATCGTATGTTTATTTGATGCTTACGTACCGCTCTTTCCGGTTTTTGACGGGACAGATACAGAGCAACAGACTAAAGACTCAACAATATACTATCATGTTTCGACATGCAAAGGCGCATAAATAAGAAATTGAACTTGTAACTAAAAATAGAGAAAAATATCAATAGCACACATGCCATATTAACTTATTCGAAATGAAGTCCAGTTTATAAGAGGCTTTTTAATTCTATTTTTAATTCTATTGTCCGATGAACGTAGTTTATGAAAGTCGTACATCTGTTATATTAAAGCCATGCTATATGGAATATATATATGTTGTTTTTTTTAAGATATTGGCAAGCAAAAGAAAAATGTCTTCATGCAACCCTTATAACCTAGCGGATGATTACAACTACCCACATTTTGTTTGCTATCTTTTCTTTATTTTCTTTGCATAACCATGAACGAAAAGCTGTTCGTAGACGATCAAGAGACCAATCTGCACACCGGAACTTTCTGCAGGATCACCAACAATATTAAGATCTTTATGAATTTGTCACTTCGTAAATCGTTCTTAGCTTATCTCATAAAAGACTTCAATGTCGCTGGGGGTAAAAGATRAAGAACCGGCAAAGAAGCTACATTTTTTGTTGAAAGAGCATCCGGGGGGAAGCTTGTACGTGTGGAATGTTGTGTACGAGTTAGTGTTGCTAGATGCATGATTTGATATGTAGAGGGTATGCCCTGCTCCAAAAGTAGGACCGTACTCTTTGCCCCAGTATAATGCATATTGGTTATGATTTCCTGTAAGGGGCAGTTTGATGGGATTAAATCCTTTGATGTTGAAAAGCGAGAACAAAAACGACCTCGTTGATGAAAAATACTGGTCACTACCTGAAAACAGATAAATGAGATCAAAATTAGATTGCCATCTGTTCATCATCATCTTCTTCTTCATCGCTATATGATCACCATTATCGTCATCACCTCCTCACCGTCATCTGATCTCCGTCATCAGACATCACCTCATCTCCACCAATAAAACTATAATCATCATCATCATCATCATCATCATAATATCATCAGCATTATCTGATCACCATCACTACCATCATCTAATCATTATAATCATCTCATCCACGTACCTCCACCACAACCATCGCCACCATGATTATCAACCAACAAAATCAGTCATCATCAAATCACCATCATTATCATCATCTTCATCATCTTAATCTTCATCATGACAATCATCATTTGTTTATCATCATCGTCATAAAATTATCATTATTGTCATAGACATCTTATCAACGTCATCTCATCACCATCATCACCATAATGTGGTCTTCATCATTATCATCCTTATCACCATCATCGTGGTCATCTGATCACCTTCATCACCATCAACCGAACTGAGCCCTACTACAAAACATGTTCACTTTTATCCTAAACCATCATAACTTGAACTGTCTAATATATTTGAAACATTGTATACGCTATAAAGTTGACCAAAGCGAAATATAATAGATGCAAATACAACTGCCAAGTGACTGGCAGTTTTGTAAACCCTTTTTAAAATGTTAAAACAGTTCAGAAACGCTTCAGAATTTCTTCCGTGTTGGCTCTCCACAGCGTGAAACACAAGTTTTATTAATCATGTTATTTATTATCATATATTATTATTTTTTATTTGTTTGCTTTCTTCTCTTTTTTTCTGCATAAACATTATTCAAAAATGTTTGTAGAATCAAGAGACAAATCAGCAGTTTCTGGTAGTTTCTACAGGAACACATGCGAGGGTTTAGTTAAGAGCTTATGACTTTGACTCTTCATAAATCGTGTTTAGCTCAACTCATAGAAGACCTCGACGTCGCTGGGAGAAAAAGATGAAGAACCGGCAAAGAAAAAACATGCTTTGTTGAAATAACATCCGGGGGAAAGTTTGTACGAGTAAGATTTGGTGTACGATTCGGTGTTGCTGGATGCATAATTTGATATGTAGACGTCATGTCCTCCTCCAAAGGAAGGGCCGAAACCTTGACCCCAATATAATGCATATTGGTTATGATTTCCTGTAAGGGGCAGTGTGATGGGATAAAATCCTTTGATGTTGAAGAGCGAGAATAAAAAAGACTTCGTCGATAAACATATCCACCACTCTCTGCAAACAGATGAGAAATTACCAATTCAAAAACCATCTGATCATCATCATCATGATCCTCATCATCGTCATCATCATCTATTCACCACCATGCATCACCTCCATGCAAAACTACCAGCATCATCAACATCATTGCCATCACTATCATCGTCCTCATCATTACTATTATCCTCATCTTCTCACATTCATCACCATTTTCTGTTCATCACCAGATCTTATTATATTAATATTGGTCGTAATTACCGAAATGAATGCGTATAATTGTAAACATGCTGTTTCTGTTCAGCTCTAGCTGGAGCTTTTCATCAGTATTCAGGAAGATTGCATGTCAGACTCTCCTACAAACAATGTGTATCATTTCTTAATTATGATTACTTCCCCTCTATTAACTAGGATAATATCGCTTACTGTGCCAAGACATTTCAGTATATCCCCCAAACACGTATTTCCCCACACGAACAATAGTTACTGTGGGTCCCTTTCCGTCACATTGTGGGTGGAATGTGGTCGTTACATCCCAACCATCTGTTGCAGCGTGCCAGCACCTCAACCAACGACTCGTACTTGGATTCTGAAGCACTGGAGACAAGAATCCTGAAAGAGCTCTCAAGTATTTTTCATTACCTGGCAGACGCAATATCGTGGAAACAAGAAACCCTGTGAGAGATAATCGTCCAACGTTAATAATCGCACCGCGTTTGACAAAATGGAATCCGGGAATTCATGGCAAGCGCAGACAGCAAGGGTTTTTTTCAACCAAAATTCAAGATATGAAATAAACTTGCAATTTATCAACAGGACACTATAATGGCTATCGATTCTCTTGATGCTAGGTTTGTCGCTAGTTTATTGAGCATTAAAAAAGTACTAACAATTGTGAATAAACGAGAAAAATATTTTTCATACTTAGCTTCACTTTCAAATGACTCCGAGCAGTGATCTCCCTGTAAGCATTTCTGGCTGTGCAAGTGTACGTGCCTTGATCCCTGATGGTTACCTTCGTTAATCCAAGACTTCCATTACTGTAAATAATAGCATTGGTGTTGCTCTGTGGCTGAATCCAGCTGAGTCCTACTGCATTAGCAGCATTGCAATGTACCCACACATCTTTTCCTTCCTCTACTTCAACGTTTTCTGGYGGTACCACGGAGAAGGAGAGTGCAGGTAGAACCGTTAACTGACCCATCGCATTCTCTGTATTTAACCTATTAGTAGCCTTACAAATGAATGTCCCGCTATCCTTGACAGACACATTCCTCAATGTCAAAGAACTTGATAACAGTTTTATAGGAGACGAACCAACACGTTTTTCTTGCGTTATCACTAGAGAGACTTTGTAACGATCAGCTGGAAGAGAACTAAGACAGCTAGACCACGTGATATTTGGGGTTGGATCTCCACTTGCTTCGCACTTGAAAGCGGCTTCAGAGCCTTCTTCGGTGATAATCGAAGATGGCTTTTTCACTATTTTGATTTTATCTAAAAAGTACAATAAATAAACTTTAGAATATAATTTGCAAAAATAAGATGACGGATTGTCAGTGTCAGAACAATATGAAACTTGTTGCAATGTCTGGAAAACCCTCTTCACCTTATTTTTAGCCACGTTCCCTTCAAATATACAAAAAGTGATCTCTATTTTGTTTCCAATGACTTTAAATGAAACTTTAAGAATAAAGGCTCAACCAGAGATCTTTATCATGTATGGCAAACGACGACAAACTGACATCAACCTCTAAAAAGGTATTTGGTATCTTTGAAGTTGGTGTAAGGTTTAAAGAAAATGATTTGTGAAAAAAATACAATTTTCATTACCTTCTACATAAAGTCTAGCATAAGCGACTTTARTTRTMCCATGGATACTTGTTGCTGTACATTTGTAGGTGCCTTCATCACTTTTCTTGACCATTCTGAGAAGSAGGCCTCCGTTTTCATCGACAGTATGACGAYCAAATGGCAAAATTGAACCTACTTTTTGCCATGAAACACGYGAATTKRGAAATCCTCTTGCTAGACAATAAAAARTGGCCATGCCGCCATGGTTGATGGAAGCAGACTTGGGGATAATTAAGATACTATTAGAGCCTGCCATTCCAGGACCAAGATTGCTGCCAGCATTAATTTGTATTGATGGTTTAGGCGAAGTASTTGGGACCAATTTTYCCAATGGGCCCTTGCGTTTGGATGGAAAACGGCACTGCCGACATGGAGGTCCTGGTGGTCCTGCAGGTCCCATRGGTCCCATGGGTCCCCTTTGCCCTCTTGGGCCTCTTTTCCCGCGGGGCCCTATTATGCCTGGTTGACCTTTCTTTCCTCTTGGACCTCTAAGGCACATCATTTGCGTATTCAAACAGCCTTTGTTTCTCAAATATTCCTTTATTTGTTTTGATATCTCAGATGAGAAATTTACAGCCACACCAGGGCTTCCTTGTACGTGGTACGACCGCTTAACTCTGTAGTGTGCATCTTGAAATTAGAAAAATAACATATCACACTTATATTCCATATTACTATAAGCCTTGGAATCAGTACATCACTAACTGTATGGTCAGCTAAAGGAGATTTRACACAACTTTTGTTTCCCCAGCAAGTGTCTCTAAGCACAAAAAAAATTATATACTTAAGAATGTCTCCAATGCTGGAAGGTCAAGATAAGGTCTACTATGACGTCCAATATTTACTTGGAATTTCTATTCAACAGAAAGTGAACAAGCTTTGCTTTATTGATCAAGGAAAACTAACACAATATTTCATTGCGTTAATAAAGTGCTCCAGTTAAAGTAGAACGATTATAACGTTTCTTACAGTGTTTCGATGAAAGGATTTAGGTGACAAAATAACAGTCATACGTATTTGTTGTACATACTTGGATTGTTTAGTCTTACCTTCAGCTTGCTTGTTCCATTCAAAAAGCTGTTGTTTCAAGTCCCTTAGTTCCTCGTTTTGTTTCATGAGAAAGCCAATCTGTTCGCGATGCGTGTAAAGCGTCCACTGAACATGAACCAGACAAGCAACAGAGGCAAGAGAGATAAACAGAGCGAACCATGGAATGAAGACGCGTCTGGCTTCATGGTTCTCCTTCATGGCAAATACTGGATTTTAAATTCGATTATAAAGTTTTCTCGTGTCCCTTTGCTTTTATATGTTAGCCTTAGCTTGATGTTCACAAACTTCCGAAAGACTTCCGCGAAGAAACGCACATTCACAATCTTTAGAGTTCAAGAAGCAAGCGAACATTCCGACGTCTCTACAGGCATAAACGCATTCGAAATCAGATATTTACTTCAAACTTTAATAAGTTCAACCTAACATAGATTTTACTGCTGGCCTTGCCGTGTCATGTTTCTCTTAGAAGAGACACATATTCTTAAACCTAATGTAAGAATCACACAACAATAACGAAGTTTATATCAGACATTGTTAGTCATTATATATGAAGTTAAGTATTCGTCTACACCCATAGAATTCCATTCGTATGGTAATGGCAAGCTGCCATGTTTTTGGATAAATGCGAATATATCTTGTGCTGATCTTTGGATTCAGGGTGTTAGTGACGGTACCTTGATAATTGGTGTTACCAGGAAGTGTCTGGAAACAACATAATAACAAAATAATAGTAGTATGAAAACGACTTGATGCAAAGACAAGGAATAGATTGCTCAGAAATACAATAAAATCCGTCTTTCTGAAATTCCCCGCCCCTTCGGGGACGTATCCAGGATTTTGAAAATGGGGGGTCGAAATTGGGCCCCCCAAACGCCGACACGGAATAAAAAAGAGCCGGCATTGCGATTCACGTTTTAATTTTCCAAAACTTAGTAAAGCAAATGAAAATTACCGTATAATTTCTCAAAAGCCACCATTTTGTTATCACGAAGGGGGTCCATGGCCCCCTCGCCCCCCCCCCCCTGTCTACGCCCTTGGCCTTATTCTGCCTGTATTCACCACCATAATTTTGGTGAGTTAGCGAGTGTGACTTACTTTTCCGTGTGATGCATGCATGTATATTTTCCAGCTTTCATTCTCTCGACGATACGATAACGAGTAGCTTGTCACGTAACATGCTTTTAAAAATGGTCTTCCTTGTGTAGCGACTTTGGTTACGAGTGTCAACCTGCCAAAGTCTACCTGCAGCCATTCACCGACACGATCAGAAGATGGTGCCCAATGTTTGGGGCTATTATTCAATCTGGCGTCATGTCCAGCATCGTTTTCACTATACTTAGATGAAGCAGTTATTGAGGAATCTGGTATTGCTCTGCTTTCCATTCCTAACGGTCTCTCCCTTATACATGCTGTAAATAACAAAGCACATTGGAAGATCATGCTGGAATTTGAATCTCAATTTTATCTAATCTTAGATAACCGGAAAGGTACATAACTTTGTCTCACCTTGGGGTCTAACTACTAGTTCCACTACTGCTGATATCTTCCTGTAAGCGTTCCATGCAATGCACGTGTACTTCCCTTGATCCTGTGAAGTTGTCTCTTTGAATTCAAGACTTCCATTCTTATGTTCAAAGACATTTACAGATTTCAGATTGATTTTCCAACTCAGTCCTATCGCATTTCCTGCTTCACAACGAATCAAAACTCTATCCCATTCTCTGGCCTCAATTCTTGATGGCGGTAAAACCCTGAATGAAAGGGCGCGCAAAACCGTTAATTGTCCTATAACTTTCTTGTTGTTCAATTTATTGTTTGCCTCGCAAATGTATGTTCCACTATCTGTGGTTGACAGGTTCATCAATGTCAGGTTACTCGACAACAATTTGGTCTTCAAGATTACCCCATTTATTTTTTCCGTTTTTATGCCTCTTGTTTGTGATACTTTATATCTACCGGCAGGAAGTGCGTTAAATACCTTTGACCACGTGATCTTTGGTGTTGGACTTCCACTTGCAGTGCACGTAAATGTCGCTGTGTGACCTTCTTCCGTGATAACAGGTGAAGGTTTCTTGTCTATTTTAGTTTCATCTAAGATAATTAAGATTTGAACATTAACGCACAGTATGTACCGGTAACGATGGGCAACAAAGACTCGGGCTAAAATTAAAAATTTCAATGTTTACCTTGAACAACGAGAGAAGCAAATGCCACTGCTTCTCCTGGGAAAATATTTGTTGCCGTGCATTTGTAAATTCCTTCGTCACTTTTCGTAATATTTCGTATCAAAAGACCTCCATTTTTATCACGCTCATATCGACCGTCTGGTAATGAGGAATTGACTTTTTGCCAGGTAACTTTGGGTGCTGGATAGCCCTTTGCAGCGCAGTAGAAAGACACAATGTCGCTTTTGTTGACAGTGACCGATCTCGGAGGAATGGAAATACTGGCAGCAGAAACCGCGATTCCTGGTTCTCCTTTCTGTCCCCTGGGTCCTGTTGGACCGGGTGGGCCTTGAGGACCTCTCAGATCTGGCAGATTATCTATCGTAATATTGCAACTTTTACACGGGGAACCGGGAGGTCCATGTTTACCTACGGGACCTTTTGGTCCCATCAGTCCCCTTGGTCCTTTAGATCCTCTAGGTCCTCTGGGGCCCCTTCTGCCACTTCTGCCCCTTCTGCCCGTGGGACCTCGGAGACACATCTTCTGGTTTTTGACACATATTTGTGTCTTGATGATTTGTCGTATTTGTCTTGTAATTTCTTCCCGGATCACGTAGTGGCTTTTTGATGTGTAGTTTGAAAGCACGCTAGAGAGACCTTCGGTGTAATCTGAYCGTTTGGAGCGAAGATGAACATCTGTTAAAAAAAGCCAAATAATATGACATCCAACAGGTATTTACTTGCCGCGGTGAATCGTGGAGCTAATAGACTAATAAACAGACTCTTTGCAGTAACTCTTAATCTTTATGCGAGTGACAATAAGAGTACGTTTTCTTCTTTTAAAATTCATAAACATTCTCTTGTTAAAGTAACTGGTTTATTGTTTTACTTTCCAGCTAGTGGATTTCAGAACATAACATACAGGACTGTTGTTGCAATCTCTCTAATCGAATTCCATTTCTAAATTATAAAGCATGTCGTTTTACACTTCAAAACTATACTAAAAGCAAGATGAATGGTATAAGTCTTTGTATCCTTATTGCGATTCTCGTTTTAAAATACCTTTTCCTAGAGGATCTTTTTCCAGTTCGTTAATTCTCTCATCCATGCACTTCTTGTTAAGGAGATGTCCAATCTGCTCGCGGTGAGAGTGTAGCGACCACTGAACATGAATCAGACAACCAACACAAGCCAAGGAAATGACCAGGTTAACCCAAGGAAGAAAGGACGTTTTACTCCCTTTTTCTTTCTTCATTATCAACCACTCTTCTTACAATACTGTTCTCGAAGAATTTTCCCTATCGTACGTTCATTTAATGCTTACGTACTGCTCTTTCCGAGAGGTTTTTGACGGGACAGATACAGAGTAACAGACTAAAAGGCTTTCTTAATCCAATTCAACAATATAATTATCCTTTTTCGATATGCGACGGTGGATAAACAAGAAATCGACCTTGTAACTAAAGATAGACAAAAATATCAGTAGCACACATGCCATATTAACTTACATTTGAAATGAAGTCTACATAAGGCCAAAGTTTACAAAAAGATATTAGAGTCCCATTTACAACAGGCTTTTAAATTCTGTTGCACGTTGTCCGATGAACACAGTTTATAAATGTCATGCATCTGTTATATTAATGCTATGCTAGTGTTATGGAATATATATGGKTTTTTTTTAAGATATTGGCAAACAAAAGAAAAATGTCTTCATGCAACCCATAGAGCCTAACGGATGACTACAACTATCCACACTTTTTTAGCTTTAGTTTTCTTTTTTTTTCTCTCTGCATAACCATTAATAAGAGACAAGTCTGGACACCGGTAGTTTCTACGGGAACTAATGGCTTTGTTACTTCATAAAACGTGCTTAGCTTATCTCATAAAAGACTTCAATGTCGCTGGGAGTAAAAGATGAAGAACCGGTAAAGAAGATACATTTTTTGTTATAAGAGCATCCGGGGGGAAGCTTGTAGGTGATCAATGTTGTGTAGGAGCCAGTGTTGCTAGATGCATGATTTGATATGTAGAGGTCATGTCCATTTCCAAAGGTAGGACCGTACCCTTTACCCCAGTATACTGCATATTTGTTATTATTTCCTGTAAGGGGCAGTTTGATGGGATTAAATCCTTTGACGTTGAAGAGTGAGAACAAAAAAGACTTCGTCGATGAAAAATAATGGCCATTGCCTAAAAACGGTAAATGAGATACCCAATTAAACAACCATCTGCTCATCATCATCACCATCATCATCATCATTACATGAACACTATTATCATCATCTCATCCTGACCACCACCACCATCAACAGCATCATCAGCATCATCAAATCATCCGCATTATAATCATGTCATCACCATTATTCAGAACACCATCATTATCTTTACTTTATCGTCGTCATCATCAAGATTATCATAATCCGTTATTTCGTTAGCCTAATTAGCATCATTTCTTCATATTCATTATTATTACCATTCTCATCATCATCAAATATCATCGTCTTCGTCATCTGGTCACTTCATTCAACGTCATCTGTTCGTCATCATTATTAACACCGGTTTATCATATTCATTGTCGTCGTAATTAGATCTGTATGATTTTACATGGGCTGCTTTTGCTCAGTTATGACCCAGTTCCGGAGCTTTATCACATTAAGGACGATTGCATGTCAAAGTTTTCTACTTACTGTGCCAAGACATTTCAGTATATCCCCCAAACACGTAGCTACCAACACGAACAATAGTCACTGCGGGACCCTTTCCGTCACATTGTGGGTGGAATGTCTTTGTTACATCCCAACCATCTGTTGCAGCGTGCCAGCACCTCACCCAACGACTCGTACTTGGATTCTTAAGCACTGGAGACAACAACCTTGACAAAGCTTTTAAGTATTTTTCATTCCCTGGCAAACTCAGTATGGTGGAAATGAGAAATCCTGTGAGAGACAATAATTCAAAGTTAATTGCACCGCATATGACTGAAAATGGAAACGTAATTCATAGAAAATAACAAGGCATTTTTTAACCACTGAACTGAAGATATGAAATGTTAAACTTGGAAATTATTACTATTATTATTATTATTATTATCATTATTATTATTATTATTATTATTATTATT